GAGTTCGGAGAGGCCATGGAGAACGACTTCCGCACGGCTTCGAGACGTTTCTGGTCCACCATCCGGCGTCTCAGGGGGGGGGAAGCGGTATGCCACCAACACTGTTTATAGTGGGAGTGGTGTGCTGCTGACCTCAACTCGGGATGTTGTGGGTCGGTGGGCGGAATACTTTGAAGACCTCCTCAATCCCACCGGCACGTCTTCCACTGAGGAAGCGGAGCCTGGGGACTCTGGGTCGGGCCCTCCAATCTCTGGTGCTGAGGTCGCCGAGGTGGTTAAAAAGCTCCTCGGTGGCAGGGCCCCAGGGGTGGATGAGATCCGCCCAGAGTTCCTTAAGGCTCTGGATGTTGTAGGGTTGTGTTGGCTTACGCGACTCTGCAATGTTGCGTGGACATCGGGGGAAGTTCCCCTGGATTGGCAGACCGGGGTGGTGGTCCCCCTATTCAAAAAGGGGGACCGTAGAGTGTGTTCCAACTACAGGGGAATCACGCTCTTAAGCCTCCCTGGTAAGGTCTATTCGGGGGTTCTGGAGAGGAGGGTCCGTCGGATAGTCGAACCTCGGATTCAGGAGGAACAGTGCGGTTTTCGTCCTGGCCGTGGAACACTGGACCAGCTCTACACTCTCAGCAGGGTCCTGGAGGGTGCGTGGGAGTTTGCCCAACCAGTCTACATGTGCTTTGTGGACTTGGAGAAGGCATTCGACCGCGTCCCTCGGGGGGCCCTGTGGGGCCCTGTGGGGGGTACTCTGGGAGTATGGGGTACCAGGCCCTTTGATACGGGCTATTAGGTCCCTGTATAACCGGTGTCAGAGCCTGGTCCGCATCGCCGGCAGTAAGTCGGGCTTGTTCCCAGTGAGAGTTGGACTCCGCCAAGGTTGCCCTTTGTCACCGATTCTGTTCATAACTTTTATGGACAGAATTTCTAGGCGCAGCCAAGGTGTTGAGGGGATCCGTTTTGGTGGCCTCAGAATTGCGTCTCTGCTTTTTGCAGATGATGTGGTCTTATTGGCTTCATCAGATCGTGATCTACAGCTTTCGCTGGAGCGGTTCGCAGCCGAATGCGATGCGGCAGGGATGAAGATCAGTTCCTCCAAATCCGAGGCCATGGTCTTGAGCCGGAAAAGGGTAGAGTGCCCTCTCTGGGTCAGGGAGGAGGTCCTACCCCAAGTGGAGGAGTTCAAGTATCTTGGGGTCTTGTTCACGAATGAGGGAAAAATGGAGCGTGAGATCGATAGGCGGATAGGTGCAGCGTCTGCAGTGAAGCGGGCACTGTACAGGTCTGTCGTGGTGAAGAGAGAGCTGAGTCAAAAGGCGAAGCTCTCAATTTACCAATCGATCTACGTTCCCACCCTCATCTATGGTCACGAGCTTTGGGTTGTGACCGAAAGAATGAGATCTCGGATACAAGCGGCCGAAATGAGTTTTCTCCGCAGGGTGTCTGGGCTCTCCCTTAGAGACAGGGTGAGAAGCTCGATCATCCGGGAGGGACTCGGAGTAGAGCCGCTGCTTCTCCACATCGAGAGGAGCCAGTTGAGGTGGCTTGGGCATCTGTTTAGGATGCCTTCTGGACGCCTCCCTGGTGAGGTGTTCCGGACACGTCCCACCGGAAGGAGGCCCAGGGGAAGACCCAGGACACGCTGGAGGGACTACGTTTCTCGGCTGGCCTGGGAACGCCTCGGGATTCCCCCGGAAGAGCTGGCCCAAGTGGCTGGGGAGAGGGAAGTCTGGGCCTCCCTACTTAGGCTGCTACCCCCGCGACCCGACCCCGGATAAGCGGAAGAAAATGGATGGATGGATGGATGGATAGTTTTGTTAAGTTATTGGTTGTTAGTGATATTTATGTTTATACAGGTCTTAATTTGTAACCCAATTGATGCTGGAACGCAAATAGCGAGCGGGCTGGAGGCGAGGGTCTGAAGGTCATCCCTCTGAAATTTGTGAATAAAGGAGGTGCGATTTCCTGCATTTGGGTTTATTTTAATGGATTGTTAAACATCTACGTTTATCTAAATTTGTAAAAACTCTGCTGCTCCCCCTCCAAGTTACTTGACCGAACAGTCAAGTAAGTTGGGGTCAGAATTGAGCCCGACTCTGTCCCTTCTAGTTGTTGTTCAACTCCACATGTGAAACCTCCAGGCGCCTGCCTGTAGATGTGAGCTCCTGCCCACGTACAACACGACTGCCTGCTCGGTATTTCACTCTTTTAAGGGTAGATGCGGAAATTTATCATTTGAAGAGGCAGATCGTATGCTGTCGTGTTTAAAATGAGTGCTCATGTAATTATTTTCAGTTTACATATCCAATCTAAGTTTTCTTTGTTCAAGGCAGTCATATATGTCCATAAATTTATTATTAGTAAGCCTGAGAGTTACCGGATAACAGGTTTCCTGTTTTTGGAATAGTCTGGGCCATGGTTTATCAACTTACAAAGAAGATGGCCGCAGCTAATTTGGACCTCATCAGGCTGCTGTCGATGTGAAGGTTGGTTCGTGCTTTGAGAGCTCAAAATCAGCTGATTTACGAGCAAAACCGTACATTGGAAGTAATTTGAATCTCAGGCCACCTGCGGCTTTGGGACTCATCAGCATAGAAATGTCCTTGAAGAGGCTCGTAAACACGGACCAGCAGAATGCACCCTAATCTGGCCACTTCGGACCTTGGAAGTACCAGTAAGACTCAAGGCTGACAAGAAAAAACAGTCTGCCTGAATAAATCAACAATTGTGGATTATCTGAATCTGACTCCCCGGTTGGCCTTGAAACAGGCTGATTTATCAATTTCTCCTGGGAAATGTGTAAACTAAGGACAAGCTTCATCTATCGCAATCCCCCCCCCCCCCCCCCCCCCCCCCCCAAACACACACACACACCTCCCGTGAAGGCTTATCAGAACTGTGCCGGCTGACCGTCATCTCATCAGGACAATGTACTACATGTATCTGTTTACTGCTTCATGGACCGCCTTGTTGTAAATGCATATGTATGTGTTCATAAATGTGCTGCTGGCAGAGTTTTTGATGTGTTAAATGGTTTCCTGTTAGGACAAGGTGTGAAAAGATCTTTTTTTGTAATGGCGCTATCCTCTCCTCATGGCTTTGTCCCTTTTTCTATCTAAAAAATGTATTCTGAAAAGGATAAGAAGGCCACACTTTATAGCAGCAGCTTCGGGCACTCCGTCCATCTTTCGGACGGCTGTACAGACATGTTCTCATTGTATCTCTGTGCAATGATGATAAAGCTTATTCTGACTCTGATTAAGAGAGTTCACGGATTTTGTTCCAGCAGGATCCAGCTCAAATTAAGCCCTGCGTTTAGATATAGTTATGGTTAGTTCAGCAGATTAGGCTTGTTAAAGATAGGAAGGGTAATGTTCTAACGAGTGAGAAGAGTGTGACAGAATGATGGAAAGAGTACTTTGAGGAGCTAATGAATGAAAGACAAAAAAGTAAAAGGTCATAGAAACTGTGGACCAGGAAGTGGGAAAGCTTAGTCAGGGTGAAGTTCAGAAAGCTCTGAAAAGAATGAAGGGGAAGGCAATAGGACCTGATGACAAACCAGTGGAGGTTTGGAGATGTCAAATAGTCAAAAACCTCACTGCCATCTATCCAAGGCAGTGAGGTTTTTGACTCAAATACTCAATGGCATGTTTTAGGGTGAGAAAATGCCTGAGGAATGGAGAAGTGTGCTGGTGCCCATTTTTAAGAACAAGGGTGATGTACAGAGATGTAGCAACTACAAGGGAATTAAAGTGATGAGTCACACAATTAAGATCTGGGAGAGAGTTGTGGAAGCAAGACTTAGACGAGAGGTGACTATTTGTGAGCAGCAATATGGTTTCATGCCAAGAGAGAGCACCACACATGCCATCTTTGTTTTGAGGATGCTGATGGAGAAGTACAGAGAGGGTAAGAAAGAACTCCATTGTGTATCCTGATGCATGCTCAATAATCCAGGAAGAAAAATTTAAAAGTTAAATCTGGTCCTCTGGACAATCAACCAAAAAAACAAAACAAAATAAAAATAAATAAAGTGTAGAAACGTTTCGTCTTTCATCCAAAAGACTTCCTCAGTCTGAGGTGCTGTATTCAGCTCAGTCTTATAAATAGCACCTTCTCAGAGTGGATCAACCAGTTTGCTGCTGACAACCAAAACCAGCTGCTCACATGATCAAGAAGGACCATCAGCCTAACAATGGATCATTAGCACCTGATGGCTGTTTACTGTTCACAGAGGGCTGAGTGATACTAGCAATCACAGCATTGTAAGAGGGGGACTTTTTTAGATTTTTCTACCTGGATTATTGAGCATGCATCAAGATATTAGTTAGTGATAGTTATGTTTAGATATATTAATTATAGTTAGTTATATCTAGTTATGTTTAGTTGTGGTTAGTTATGCATAGTTATAGTTAGTTGGGAAAATGTATGTCTTCTTATGTTTAGTTATGATTAGTTATGGCTAGTAAAGGATAGTTATGTTTAGATATGGTTAGTTATCTTTAGTTATGTCTAGCTATAAAAAAAGGTTTGTAAGCTCAATCATCCAGGTAGATAAAAACAAAAATGGTTAAATCGTCATCTGGACAAGTAAACGAAGGGGAGCTAGACCTGGAGGAATACACATCCTCAGTCCTTGGGTACATTAGTAAATGTGATGACATCACCACCTTCAGATATGTTAAGAGCTACCCGAACAGGAAGACTTAGCTGAATGCAGAAATTTGCACCCTGATGGAAGCCAGGGACACTGCCTTCGTGTCTGGCAACTCACATGAGCTGAGAAGTACAAGAGCTGGTTGCTGGTATTAAGAATCAGAATCAGTTTATTATTGCCATGTCAATGAACGAGGTTCGCAAACTAGGAATTTGCTTCGACATAAAGGTGCGAATAATAATAAAGTAAAATAAAGTAAAAATGAAAACATAACATATGTGTACACCCATATAATAAAAAACAATAAAACAAACTTAGAAAACAGTACAAATGGAGTATTCAATTATAATACAGATGTAATGTGACCAAAGCAGAATTTATGAGGTAACATTATGAGTGTTCAGGAGTCCAACAGCAGAGGGGAAGAAACTGTTCTTATGGCGGGAGGTTCTGGTCCGAATGGACCGAAGCCTCCTGCCTGAGGGGAGTGGTTCGAACAGACCGTGTGCAGGGTAAGCAGGGTCAGCTGTGATCCGACCTGCTCGCCTCACAGTCCTAGAGACGTACAGGTCGTGGAGGGATGGAAGGCTGCAGTCGATCACCTTCTCAGCTGAGCACACAACGCGCTGCAATCTGAGACTGTCCCTGGCAGTGGCCCCAGCGTACCACACCGTGATGGAGGAGCGGAGGATGGACTCGATGATGACCGTGTAGAACTGCACTATCAGCTTGGCCGACAGCTTGGCCTTCTTCAGCTGTCGCAGGAAGTACAGTGTAGTGAACTAGACCTCCGACATCAATCTGGCTCTGAAGACCTTCAGGGGACAGGAACTGTTATTTCATTGATTTGAATCCAGAAATACAAATTATCTCATCAAGAGACTATTTAATTGTATCCTGAATTAATCAATTGAAAGAACACTCTTCTTTTTATATTATCATTACTATTTTACAATATCTTGATAATCAAAAGTGTGTTTATTTCATACCATTTCTAATGTTGAAGTGAACCACTCATTTAAATCAACTGTGAAACAGTATTAATGATTTTTAAACCTCATTAGACTTCATCAATCATACAAGTTAAATGTCTATTTACGAAGTAAGTGTGCATTTTAGTCTTCTGTCTGAATGAGGAGTAGTGGATTTGAGGTTGAAAGTCAGAGACAAGTTATGAGAACGAAGTGCCTTGTTTTTTAAAACTCTTAGACAGTAAATAAGAACTGGCTGGCACCTGCTGTCTCTCACTACTTCAAAATATTTCTCTGTCTGTACTAACCGTTCTTAAAAACATTCCTGCTGTCTGCTGACTCCTAATAACCCTCTGACATCACTAAAACTACACCCCTGCTGGTTGTTTCAACCAATCAGGGAGTACCAAGTGACAGGAAGTGGATACCCTTTAAAAGTCAACACTTCTTGGAACTATCCAGTCTTTCCAGTCTTCTTGGAACTTTCAGCCTTACTGGAAGACTCAGTCTTACTGGAGTCTTCCAGCTGAACTAAGTAGCTGATGGATTTTTGGACCATGAGCCAAGGGTCCGTCCATTCCAGCGGAGTCCCAGCTGCCTCGCTGTGACTCACCCCGAGCATTAAATGCTCTCAACTTCGAAGGAAGCTTATTCTGTTGATTGGAGCATATGGAACTACTTCTAAAGATTCTCAGCCACCCTGACCGGAGACGCTGAAAAGGTAGCGTGCCAACGGACCTCTGTTCTGGAGTTGATGTATCCTCTGCTCAGGTAACAAGTCGTTGCATGCCCCGAGTGTACTGCGGGCGGAGCTGGTGTAGGAAGAAGGGTGCCATTTTCTGGTCAACACATTTTCCTTCATCCATCTAAACCTCCTCTTTAAATCTTTAAACCTCTTTACTCCTTCTCTTTAAAATTCTATTTGCCAGTAAATCAAGCTAGATGCCTTCAGAGATGAATTATTCTCCATCAGTAATCCTCTGTTGTCTTGTTATTTGAACTTGCTAAGTTTTATTAATCAAAAACAGATCAGCCAATCAATGTGTACATGTTTGATGTTAAATTTTGATTCCGTTAAATAAATGACCGCATTTATTCTGTTGGGTCAAAGATAAATTACGTCTCATGTCACTAATTACATATGCAAAGAGATATATATGCAAACTAATACACTAATTACATACGCAAAGGCACATATGCAATGAGGATCGAGGGTCAATTAATCTCACAAGACCCTCGCAGCATGTGGAGGGGCATTAAGTGCATAACAGATTATAAAGGAAGGAGTGAACAATGCCCCAAAGACCCATCTCTGCCTGATGCCCTCAACAAGTTCTATGCACGCTTTGAAGACCCGAACAGACCACACAGCACCAGACTCACCTCACCACCGGATGAAGAGCATCTCAGCGTGACCTCAGCAGAAGTAAGGAGTACCTTCAGGAGGATTAATCCGCACAAGGCAACTGGCCCAGACAACAACCCCGGAAAAGTGTTGAAGGAATGTGCTGATCAGCTCTGTGAGGTGCTGGCAGACATCTTTAACACCTCACTTACCCTGGAGACAGTTCCCACCTGCCTGAAGACTGCCACCATCATCCCAGTCCCAAAAAGCTCTACAGTGACTGGTCTGAATGACTATCGGCCAGTGGCCCTCACCCCGATAGTCGCCAAATGCTTTGAAAAACTAGTCATGACTCGCATCAAAACAACCATCTACATCAACGAGGAACCTCATCAGTATGCATACCGTGAGAACCGATCAACAGAGGATGCAATCTCCTCTGT